TGTGATGCAATGTTTATAGTTGGTAAATAATTATTTTGAGGGGTGATAACATTCGTATCATGATTTGTACTGGTAGAGACAGTGTTCATTATGTAAAGTAAAGTTATTGCGGGAAGCTACTGAGGTAGCTTTCAATGTTTCTATCTAAGGTGTCGGTAATAGGAGCAAAGGATTTAGCATCATGTTTACTTATCAGGCCTTTGTTTAGGAGTATTTGTTGGAAGTCCGCACACGTGAATGAAAGACTATTGATGGCTATGGTGAATGAGGATATATGTCTTTGTTGGCGGTGACAAATGGTGATGAGCTGCTCGTTTGTCTTTTTTTGTAAGAGAGTCGAGCATTTAAAAGCATCGATATGAGGATATTTTTCGTCAGCAGGTGATGATTCTGGAGGAAGTGCATCATTGTGTTCAGCCGCCTCTTGAGGAGTGATGACTTTGATTTTGAGGGCTTTTTCGATGACACTAAGACTGTCTTGTGAGAAGGCTAAGCTGGATGTTAGGAATGTAAGTTGCTGTGTGATGGCCTCGAGTTGCATGGTGACGAGTTTTTGGAAATCCTGATCGTGTATAAAGCCTCCTTTAGTGGTACCTTTGGAGAGATCATTGATCGGCTTTGATACCTGGATTGGGTTGGTTGCTTCAATATCCATTTCTTCAGGAATATCATCCGCCTATGACAAAGGCTTGGGCATTGATTTATTTTTGTTGTTGGAAAGGATCTGTGGAAAAGGATTAATTGTAAAGCCTTTAAGCCGGTCGTCCCTCTCCTTTTTCTTTAAAGCGTCTATAAAGGTGACGTTTTCTCTTATTGCGCCTCTTTATTGTTGTTTTTTGGGAGCGACATAATTGTTGAATTGAGCCGGTTGAAACTTTTGATAGAGTTGTTGCATATTACGATCTTTAGGATTGTGTCTACGTTTTGGACAGTTAGTTGCGTTATGGTGAGCAGATGAACAGATGGCGCACAGTTTTTTCTTAGAGTCCGTCCATTCAACTTTTTTTCCATTTAAGGTTAGGTCCGTGATTTTTCCAGCTGCTTTGCAAAGTTCCGCAGTGGTAAAGTAAAAGTAGGCATGTTGAAGATAGTTGTAATTTGACCTAGCTCTTAAGACGATCCATGCAGTTGCCTCTGTTAAACGACCAATATCTAAGAAGTCACGTGACGTGGTATTTCTTGGAAGGTTAGTGAGTTTGATTGAGTGCTTAGATTTATTCTGTACGTCTACAAGAGGTAGGTTGCTTCTGTGAAATCTGATCATGTCATTAAGAAGAAATATACCGTCTTCATTATCAAGTTCAGTAAAGTTGGCGTCCTTATCAAAGGTGATGATAGCATGTTGCCATAAGTTACGGGTTTCCATCATAATGCAGGTAATAGTACCATATTTGGAAAATAATTTTTTAAGGCGCAATTCGGTGGCGTCAAGTGGGATTTCGGTCACGGTGATGGAAAGTTCCAGGGTGAAGGGAGCTTGTTTTTGTAGGACAAGTGGTAAGAACGTGTTGTTATCCATTTGTGGAATCTGCATCTTGCAGAAATTATCTCGTTCGACTTTATCAAGAAAGGCAAGTTTGAGGATGGTTTGTTTGTGATTTGCTGGAGATTTGCCATGTGATACTTGAAAAGGAAAGTAACTTCATGCAGTGCTGATCAATGATGTCAGTGATTTTTTGTTGGGGATTCCGCCTTTGTATTTTTCAAATAAACAATACGTGAAAAATTTTTTGAGAGGGCGACTGTTGGTAAAAGCGAGAATGTCTTCCTCAGTAGCGATAATGTTTTCAGTGAGGTCGGAGCTATCGTCAACGTTTATATTACTGGAAGAAGCTATGTTGTCGGTAGAGGGAACTTCCTTTTCTTTGCCTTTGTTGTTTTTTGAAGAAGTTTCGGCAAGAGAGTTGTCGACTTCCATGTTATTTTCAGGAATAAAGTTGTTCGTCAGAACAGATAAAGAAACTGTTGGTTCAACTGTTTGCATAGTATTTTGTCTTTTGTAAGGTTGTTGAACTGTTTTGGGTAACGCAGAGTGACCGTGATTATTATTTTGTTTTCTGCTGTTTTTTGGCATAGTGAAGAAGCAGAAAGTGTTTTCTTATATTAAATATTTTTTTTTTTTTTTTTTTTTTAAAATGCGGTAGTTCCACATAATCTTTATTATGATAAAAGTAAAATATAAAAAATAAAATACAAATCAAGAAGAAAAAATGAAAATCTCGTACAGAAAAGAAAAACTAGACTATAGAAGACTGACCTTGCACTCCTCTAGATCAATTCTAACCTAAGCTAAAACTATCACTTCTGAGTAATTAAACAGAAATAAAACAGGAGAGGCTTGGCCACTACTGCACTAAAAATTCATCCAGTGAGATTCAAGTTTCACCATGGTGTTTATTAGATCAACGTTATCGTTGTTAGTAAGAATACCAATGGGAAGATCAAAACCTAAAGAGGTGAAGTTGTCTTTTTTATCTTTAAGATTAATGTTTGCAGCTTTCTCTATGGCAGATTGACAGGTACACCTTTCAATCCAAAACCGTTGTGATTCTTCATAAATGAAGTGCATAAGGGATGAACATGCAGCTAAAGCTGTAAGCATATGTGTAAGGTTATTATGAATGAATTCAAAGAGGGTGTTAGGAACAATGCCTTTAATGAGAATCACAAAGGAAAAGGATGTTGAGAGGTTCCACCAATTAAGATTGTCAATATCATGCATATGTGCATTGGTAATGTCTTTAAGGTAGTCTTTAACTTATTGGATGAGAAGTTTCATTTGATAGTTAACTATCGGACAAGTCTATATATGTAAGAAGTTTTCATCTGCAGCCTCACATCTAGGACACAGGGCTGAGGTCGGGAAAAGAGACGGATGTCTAATTTTCAGAATATCAACAATAGGAAGCATTTTCAGCAAACGTTAAAACTTTTTTATCCTTGTAGTGAAGGCTACATATGATGTATGATTGGTAGCTACATTGTTATTAAGACAGAAGGAGGTAACATACCAATTGATTTTGAAGAATAGGTGATATTTGTTGACTACATGTAAGGATAATATTTGTTGAAGGTGCTTATGCCAGAAGATCTCCTTTACAATTTGTCTTATCGGGATAAGAATTAGTTAGTTATTGTAGTTAGCAAAGCTCTGTGAAGCAGCCGTCAAATTAAGATGCAAGATGGAGAGGGTAAGAGCATCTTTTGCCATAGCGTCTACCTTGTTGTTCAAGAGATTATTTGAATGCGCTTTAACTTTTATTAAATAGATATCCAGGTTGTGTTCAGAGATCACTTCAAAAAGACAAGACCAAAGCACAAAGTTATTGATTTTCAGAAAAAGTCTGAAGGTAGGAGACTGCTTCTTGAGGAAACTGAATTTGTTGAACTGTGATATGATAACAGTTAAGTCAGTATAGACTCTGACTTTGCAATTTGGAGAGGCAGTCAGAAGTGCGATGAAAAAAGCTGCAGATTCAGGTATTGATGATAATGGAAAACTGGAGGCCAAAATGGTGCTAAAGGAAGTCATAGGCGAATTTTGGTGAGATTGTAACCAAGCAAGCCCCATTTTGATTGAAAGAAAACTGACGTCTTTAAAAGACCCGTCGGTGTAAAATTCTAACTCAGTAGCAGAAACAAAAGTAGAGGAAAGTGTTAGTAGTTTTTGTTTAAAGGGAGAAGGGATAAATCTATCTATACAAGAATTATGTGCAGGAGGAGGAACAGAGGGTAATACGTTTAAAATTTGGGGCTAGTGAGATGCGATTGCACAAGTTAAAGCTAATTCATTGAGAGCACCAACGGATAGCGCTGTAGAACTAGAACTGTCATAATAAATATTATGAAAGGCTGCACAGTAAGCACGAGGAATATAATTATAAAAATAGTGGATGTATAGAAAGGTATAGGTAAGAAAAAATAAATCAAATATATATTATTGCCGAAGTCGTCCAGACTCTTCAAACTATCAAACTACATAATTTATCATTTTTCTAAAACTATTCCTCCAACAAGAATAATTCTGCATATAACAAAATCAAACTAAATCAATCTAAAACAATGTTCTCAGATATTTTTTTGTTCGCTGTTTTCAGCATCATAGTTATTAT